GCTTTAGGGTTTAGGGGCTTTAGGGTTTAGGGTTTTAGGGTTTAGGGCCTTTAGGGTTTAGGGTTTTAGGGGCTTTAGGCTTTGGGGGCTTTAGGGTTTTAGGGTTTTGGGTTTTGGGTTTAGGGTTTAGGGGCTTTTGGGTTTAGGGGCTGTAGGGTTTAGGATGTTGGTTTCTACGCTTGGCAGAAGATATGTAGCATAGTCCCAAGCCCCAATTTCAAAATCAAATCCCGCGTACCTCACGACTTGCCCCAAACGCCAAAACTCCTTAAGCATGTCTACTAAGTCTACTAGGGCCTAAAGAAGTACCAATATTTTCCTTATTGCAAGCTGCATATAAGTATAGCATCCTATTCCACAAAACCCTTTCCCGACTGTTAAGGCCCCCAAACCCTAAACCCTAAACGCTAAAAAGGAGCTCAAAAAAACACCCCTAAACCCTAAACTGTTCCAGGGAAAGGAGTCGGGGGTTCATGGCCCTGCCTTCCCAACGCCGAAAGCCCGAAACCACGACACTGAACTCCAATAAATCCTAAATCTTCAAAGTCCCTAAACCCTAAACCCTAAACCCCTAAACCCTAAACCCTAAACCCCAGACCCTAAACCCTAAACCCTAAACCCTAAACCCTAACCCCTACACCCTAAACCCTAGGCCCTAAACCCTAAACACTAAACACCAAGACCCAGTACACCCTAGGCCTAAACATTCTATTTCGGAGTGTCTCCAGAAGCCCAGAGCTCTGGCAGAGGGCTTCGTAAGGTCCCTTTTCGGGGTTTAGGGGTTTGGGGTATAGGGGTTTAGGGTTTAATGGTTTAGGGTTTAGGGGCTAGGGTTTAATGGTTTAGGGTTTAGGGGTTTGGGGGTTAGGGTTTAGGGGATTAGGGGTTTAGGCTTGTCTATAGCTAGGGGTTTCGTCATGGCGCTTCGAGGAGAAGCAAGCAGCCATGCGGCTTAGGATCCACCCGCAGTCCATCGTCCACAGCGCGGTCGAGTGCCAGGAGCGGTTTGAGGATGTCAATGGTTCTGGGTTTGCATAGTCTATTGTGAAGTAAGTTCTAGCGTATTATAAGTTATAGTAGGGTATAGTATCCATGGCATCGCATAGTATAGTACAAGATAGTATAGTGTAGTCTAGTATATTCTGGTTGAGGGTTAAGGTTCCAGCCTTGAAGGTTGAGGGGCAGAAGCTTACGGTTTTGAGGCTTTGAGTGTTCCTGGACGGCATTTGATGTGTGCTAACCTGAAACGCCAACTATTGCATTGGTGAGATGGAGTATGATTACGGCTTCTCTTTTCGCTACGGTGTGCTGGTGCCGGTGCTGGTGCTGGT